CTTCAAACATCATGACAACTATCAGAACCACAGAAAGTATGGGTGAGAAAACTCTAAGTTCACCACAGTGTTATTTATCACATATTTCAAGAGGCTTTTTTCATATTCACTATGGAAAACTAATGCATAAACATGGAATATCCTACAGTAATTAGAGCAATGTTCTTAGATTTAACAGGACAAACATGATTACGAAGGAAGGAAATAGAATCACTTAACACATGCAAATTTTAAACAGATTGTCAGACCATGTGACAGGCAAGTTGCCAGAGCTCTCTATCAAGAATGCTCCGAGTATCAGCCTCAGGGGGAGGCTGGGTTCCATGCACGGCAGGACCCTTTTCCTGCACCGGAAATAAGGAACCATAGCAGAGAAACCCTTGTTCCTCTGAGGACCCTTTCCAGCCAGTGCTTAGGGATGCAGGAGTTAATAACAGATCAAGGCTTTCTCAGCTTTTAGCAACCACTGAGAACAGGTCAAAATCAGGAAAGAAAGAACTCCTTCTACATGCCTGTTACAACTACATTTGCCCTGACCGGTTTGGCTCAGTGGATAGAGCGTCGACCTGCGGACTGAAGGGTCCCAGGTTCGATTCCGGTCAAGGGCATGTATCCTGGTTGCGGGCACATCCCCAGTAGGGGGTGTGCAGGAGGCAGCTGATCGATGTTTCAATAGGTCAAAATCAGGAGAGAAAGAACTCCTTCTACATGCCTATTACAACTACATTTGCCCTCACCGGTTTGGCTCAGTGGATAGAGCGTCGACCTGCGGACTGAAGGGTCCCAGGTTCGATTCCGGTCAAGGGCATGTATCCTGGTTGTGGGCACATCCCCAGTAGGGGGTGTGCAGGAGGCAGCTGATCGATGTTTCTCTCTCATCGATGTTTCTAACTCTCTATCCTTCTCCCTTCCTCTCTGTAAAAAATCAATAAACATATTAAAAAAACAACAACTACATTTGCCCATGAAAAATACATATTCTTTTGAAGGAGCTGAATGACTGCTGATACAATAACGAATAACCACTTGCTATTTGGGAACATGTTACAACGGATATATTACAACAGACACAGACAGCGGTGTGTCCTGTGGTTCCTTACCAAGTTTGGCGACAGAAGGGACTGAAAGTGAAAAAGAACGCCTGCATTGGCGATCTGGTCCAGCCACCTCCTGCTGGCTTCCCACGTTTCCATCTCATTTTCCTTGCTGTTGTCGAACATCTGGTTCAAGGCTGCCATGAGCTGCTCGGAGAAGGCACAGACCGTGGCCACGAGACTTTGGCAGAAAACCATGTCCCTTCGGAGCTGTGGCTCACTGTCTGCGATCCAGGAGAACAGAGGGAGTTTTGAGAAATGTCATCAATCAAACCAGTCCAGTAAGCTTTTACACTCGCTGTTATTTCGACCTCTCACTAAATTCACACGATGTGAGAATGCAAATTTGAGCTCTCTTAATGAGCACATATATTTTAGCAACTTTGTTTTTTAGAAAACACCGAAAAGTGTTAGAAACATTAAAATAATTTTTCTTCTATGACATTATGACTTTATTTTATAATCCCTAAATTGCTTTATAAAACCTAAGGGGGAAAAAAACTAAGTCTTTATTTATTTACTTTTTTATTTTTTCTGATGGTCCACAATTTGTGTTTGTTATGTGGAATGTCCCTAAAGGAAACTCAGAGTCCATTTTTTTTCAGATTGTGCTGGCAAACAAAACACAATATCATGCCCAGCCGGCATGGCTCAGTAGTTGAACCAGGAGATCACGGTTCAATTCTCGGTCAGGGCACATGCCCAGGTTGAAGGCTCAGTCCCCAGTGGGGGGCATGCAGGAGGCAGCCAATCAATGATTCTCTTTCATCATTGATCTTTCTACCTCTCTCTCCCTCTCCCTTCCTCTCTGAAATCAATCCTATATAATAAAAGCATAGTATGCAAATTGTCCCCTCCACCAGGAGGTTGTCAGAGCATTCGACCAGGGGCAGGGCCAGCCGGGGGAAAAGAAGGGAGTAGCCAGCTGGCAGCCGGCAGCCGCTAGGGAATCTACCAGTGCATTAACTTCATGCACTAGGCCTCTAGTAAAAATATATTTAAAAAAATACAATAACATTAATACTAAGTTTTTAAAAATTGTCTACTAAACCTATTGAAATATTTATGTGAAATGCACACGGGAAACAAAGTATCATTGTCCAATTGTTTGTAACAATAAGTAAACCTGTATGTCCTGCATTTACTATTCAACTTCATAAGTTATCAA